AATTGTAATATTCACTTGGACTTATTTAACGCAAAGTGAACATGATTGTGAACATTTTACGATCAGTGAGTGAGTGAGTGTTTTTATGCCGCCTTTAGGAATATTCCAACAATGTCAGAATTCTACAAGATTCAGGCTTCCAACTCGTGGCTAAACCCCTAACAAGTTTTTACCAGATGGAATATCAAACACTATGTTGAATCAGACAAGGGATTAGGCTTCTTGAAATGACCATGTCTTATATATTTCATATTACGTGAACAAGGATGTAGGGAATTATTTTGATTAAATATGGTAATAGGATCTTTGAAGTAATATGTCTGCATAGTTGACATACTACCATTGGCCCATGGTACATTATCTAATACAGTATGCAGCTCAGTCCATTTCTACACTGTAACACTGCATCGAGCCTGCACCTCATAATACTATGAGTTTCCTAACATTCATTGCATGGTAGTATAGTTGTCAATTACGTTAATTAGCAGCGTGTGCCGACATACTGGAGTCCGATCCAGGTGAGCTGGTTTCAGTACAGTCCAGCACCAACACAAGACATAGTTGAACTCCCAGAACAATCAACTTCTTGGGACAGGCACATAATATATTAATGATAGACGGTTTTATTACAAGACATGACTGAATTAGGTCTGGTTTGTTGATCAAGCATGACTTCATTAGTGGGACAGTGTAGGCCATCTTTGTTGCTGGATGCAGGTCACATGTATCAACCTTGCATCAGGAGGTTTACCCAGGTCCATTTGTCTGCCTCACTGCCTCACAGTCCCTGAACATGGTATTTTCCTTTCAACCAGCCCTTATTTTAATGCTACAGGGAGCAGTGGGGTAGGCTATAGGGAGCAGTGGGGTAGCCTATAGGGAGCAGTGGGGTAGCCTACAGGGAGCAGTGGGGTAGCCTACAGGGAGCAGTGGGGTAGCCCGTAGGGAGCAGTGGGGTAGCCTGTAGGGTAGCCTGTAGGGAGCAGTAGAGTAGCCTATAGGGAGCAGTGGGGTAGCCTATAGGGAGCAGTGGGGTAGGGTATAGGGAGCAGTGGGGTAGCATATAGGGAGTAGTAGGGTAGGGTATAGGGAGTAGTAGGGTAGGGTATAGGGAGTAGTAGGGTAGGGTATAGGGAGTAGTAGGGTAGGGTATAGGGAGCAGTGGGGTAGCATATAGGGAGCAGTGGGGTAGCCTGTAGGGAGCAGTGGGGTAGCCTACAGGGAGCAGTTGGGTAGCCTGTAGGGAGCTGTGGGGTAGCCTGTAGGGAGCTGTGGGGTAGCCTACAGGGAGCAGAGGGGTAGCCTACAGGGAGCAGTGGGGTAGCCTGTAGGGAGCAGTGGGGTAGCCTACAGGGAGCAGTGGGGTAGCCTACAGGGAGCAGTGGGGTAAGCTACAGGGAGCAGTGGGGTAGCCTGTAGTGAGCAGTGGGGTAGGCTACAGGAAGCAGTGGGGTAGCCTACAGGAAGCAGTGGGGTAGCCTACAGGGAGCAGTGGGGTAGTCTATCGAGAGCAGTGGGGTAGCCTACAGGGAGCAGTGGGGTAGCCTACAGGGAGCAGTGGGGTAGCCTACAGGGAGCAGTGGGGTAGCCTACAGGGAGCAGTGGGGTAAGCTACAGGGAGTAGTGGGGTAGCCTGTAGGGAGCAGTGGGGTAGCCTACAGGGAGCAGTTGGGTAGCCTGTAGGGAGCTGTGGGGTAGCCTGTAGGGAGCTGTGGGGTAGCCTACAGGGAGCAGAGGGGTAGCCTACAGGGAGCAGTGGGGTAGCCTGTAGGGAGCAGTGGGGTAGCTTACAGGGAGCAGTGGGGTAAGCTACAGGGAGCAGTGGGGTAGCCTGTAGTGAGCAGTGGGGTAGGCTACAGGAAGCAGTGGGGTAGCCTACAGGAAGCAGTGGGGTAGCCTACAGGGAGCAGTGGGGTAGTCTATGGGGAACAGTGGGGTAGCCTACAGGGAGCAATGGGGTAGGCTATAGGGAGCAGTGGGGTAGCCTATAGGGAGCAGTGGGGTAGTCTATGGGGAGCAGTGGGGTAGTCTATGTGGAGCAGTGGGGTAGGCTACAGGGAGCAGTGGGGTAGCCCATAGGGAGCAGTGGGGTAGTCTATGGGGAGCAGTGGGGTAGCCTGTAGGGAGCAGTGGGGTAGTCTATAGGGAGCAGTGGGGTAGTCTATAGGGAGCAGTGGGGTAGTCTTTGGGGAGCAGTGGGGTAGTCTTTGGGGAGCAGTTGGGTAGGCTACAGGGAGCAGTGGGGTAGCCTACAGGGAGCAGTGGGGTAGGTTATGGGGAGCAGTGGGGTAGGCTACAGGGAGCAGTGGGGTAGCCTGTAGGGAGCAGTGGGGTAGGCTACAGGGAGCAGTGGGGTAGCCTGTAGGGAGCAGTGGGGTAGGCTACAGGGAGCAGTGGGGTAGTCTACAGGGAGCAGTGGGGTAGGCTACAGGGAGCAGTGGGGTAGGCTACAGGGAGCAGTGGGGTAGGCTATGGGGAGCAGTGGGGTAGGCTACAGGGAGCAGTGGGGTAGGCTACAGGGAGCAGTGGGGTAGCCTACAGGGAGCAGTGGGGTAGGTTATGGGGAGCAGTGGGGTAGGCTACAGGGAGCAGTGGGGTAGGCTATGTGGAGCAGTGGGGTAGCCCATAGGGAGCAGTGGGGTAGTCTATGGGGAGCAGTGGGGTAGGCTATGGGAAGCAGTGGGGTAGGCTATGGGGAGCAGTGGGGTAGCCTACAGGGAGCAGTGGGGTAGCCTACAGGGAGCAGTTGGGTAGCCTGTAGGGAGCTGTGGGGTAGTCTATGGGGAGCAGTGGGGTAGGCTATAGGGAGCAGTGGGGTAGCCTACAGGGAGCAGTGGGGTAGCCTACAGGGAGCAGTTGGGTAGCCTGTAGGGAGCTGTGGGGTAGTCTATGGGGAGCAGTGGGGTAGGCTATAGGGAGCAGTGGGGTAGCCTACAGGGAGCAGTGGGGTAGCCTACAGGGAGCAGTGGGGTAGCCTATAGGGAGCAGTGGGGTAGCATATAGGGAGCAGTGGGGTAGGCTATAGGGAGCAGTGGGGTAGCCTGTAGGGAGCAGTGGGGTAGCCTATAGGAAGCAGTGGGGTAACCTATAGGGAGCAGTGGGGTAGGCTATAGGGAGCAGTGGGGTAGCCTGTAGGGAGCAGTGGGGTAGCCTGTAGGGAGCAGTGGGGTAGGCTACAGGGAGAAGTGGGGTAGGCTACAGGGAGCAGTGGGGTAGGCTATGTGGAGCAGTGGGCTAGCCCATAGGGAGCAGTGGGGTAGGCTATGGGGAGCAGTGGGGTAGTCTATGGGGAGCAGTGGGGTAGGCTACAGGGAGCAGTGGGGTAGGCTATGGGGAGCAGTGGGGCAGGCTACAGGGAGCAGTGGGGTAGGCTATGGGGAGCAGTGGGATTGCCCATAGGTAGCAGTGGGGTTACATCCTTGTGGTTAAAGTGTCACACCAAAAACCTGGATTTGATTCCCCACATTGGTACAATGTGTGAAGCCAAATTCTGATTTTCCTTGCCGTGATATTGCTGGACTATTGCTAAAAGCAGCGTAAAACACTCACTCACTCACTCACTCACTCACTCACTCACTCTAATGCTTTAGGGAGCAGTGTTGTAGCCTAGTGGTTAATGTGTTCGCTCATCACGCCAAAGACTGAGGGATCTTTTCTCCCTATTTGTTCGTCAAGCCGAAAAGACCAGGGTTCGATTCCCAACATGGATACAATGTGTGAAGCCCATTTCTGGTGTACATCATTGTGATATTGCTGGAATATTGCTTAAAAAGCTGCATTAAACGCTACTCATTCACTAAATTCTATAGCCCTAAATAAAGAAGTCCACATTTCCCTCAGGTTTGGGACTCCTTTTCAATTCATATGTAGTTGCTGGTTTCTAAGATTATTTATTTTCTGAGTCGAAGCATTTGTCTGCCTTGTCCATGTGCGGTGGGTGTTGGCGGGGACATGTGGCACGAGTTTGTTCCCGAGTCGTTATCACTGCCTGAGTAGGGAAATGAATGCCCATTCATGAAATTGACGTATCCTGATGGCGATAGCTGAGGTCAAGATATCATAATGTTGTGTTGGTGGTAAGAAAGTGCTGTGCGATGGGGGTGGTTTATGATAAGGTGGTAATGTATTACATAACTATTGGTGGATTATTACTTCCACTTGTAACACTGGCTGGAAGTGCTGAGTGCTTCCTGAATAACAAGTGATGTGATGGGAAACACTTTTGTAGTAGCGAGTATGTATATGACTGGTTGGTTTGCATAAAATGTTTATTGATTAAGGATTGTATAAAATGAAATGGTATATGGAATTTTGGTTTAGTTTACAGAACCTTCACTGTTCTTTGTTACGATGATGAGATGTATCAGCTGGAACAGTTGGGTGGTTAGGTTGATCATCCCTTGTAATTTATCTGTTTTTTTCTCTCCTGATATTACTACACACCAAGAGCCAGGAACGCTGTGAATTTAAGTGATGAGCTATCTTCTGTGTGCCCTTCATAACTTCATAAAACATTTCTGTGAATTTTGTATTAATTCTTCAGTATTATGACAATATATGATGTTTTGCCGAATTGTGTCCCTTGGACATACCAGGAACCTATGATTATGGGTTCGAATCCAAGTTCGCCTTGATTTTGTCAGAACCATACCCATGTTTGTGGAAAATTCACAAAAGTGGTGAATGTAAGAGACCTGCATCACTTTGGGCTTTTAATTCTCAACATTAAGCTGACATGCTGTGGATAACTGGAATACTGTTCAAAGCAGTGTTAAACCCCAACTCACTCGCTCACTCTAGACACAAAGACAGCATACCATGATAATATGATTCTCATTTTGGGAATGACTCTTTTTCAGCTGACATATATTGTATTTGTTATGTCCCTGATAGGAAGTATTCTAAGTTAAAATAGATACCATCTGATGAAACGTTTTTTATTGACCATCTTTGTTTCGTATGACTATATTTCAAAGTTTGTTTTCTGCACTTATTTCCAGGCCACAGGAGATTGGCCTGAACAGGAGAAAGCAGGTGTTGACCAGGGCTTCAAACGGAAACTTTCCAAACGAGAGAAGAAAGAAAAGAAGAAACGAGAGAAAGATAAAAACAAGGAGAATTTGGACAAGAATGACAGCAGTGTGGCGGAGAGACTGTACAGTGAGCTCCCAGAGAACAGCTTCACCAGGAGCATCTCCAACCCTGAGGCCGTCATGCGGCGCCGGCGCCAGCAGAAGTTGGAGAAGAAGCTGCAGCAGATGCAGGGGAATGATGGCACCAGTGACTCAGGTGAGAATCAACTCAGGAAGTGTTCACTGCTGTTCACACACTCAGAGGTCGCCCCTATGATGATCCAGGGTAGAACTGAACTTCAACAACCCATGCTTGTAAGAGATCGGGTTGTCAGGCTCGCTGGCCTTGTTGATGCATGTCATCGTATCCCAATTGCTTAGATTGATGCCTATGATGTCAATCACTAGAGTTTGAGGTCCAAACCTGATTATTTGACTGCTAACATTTAGCTGGAATATTGCTGGGCTTAAAGTTGGGCTTAAAATACAAACAAATGCTCCTAGGGTGATGGGGCAGCCCATATTTAATGACGAGTTTGATTGCCACATGGGTACACTGTGTGAAGCCCATTTCCCGTATCCCCTTGCTGTGATATGGCTGGAACATTGCTAAATTTGGCACTAAACTGTTCCTACTCACTGACTCACTCTTGTGTCAAGGCGAAATAATCTGGTTTGGTTGGTGAGTTGGTTGCAGTGAGTCTTGGATGGTCAAAATGGTTTCTTTGTGTGGGCAGGGATTGGTGACAGTTTTCGGCTCTCATGTGGCCGGTTTAGTGTGTCAGCATACGCCAGCCTCTGATGTTTACATTATCAGTATGCTGTCTTCAGTCTTTAAGAGAGGTTTGTGTGTGCCATATTGACTCTTGACGAGTGCCTAATCCAAGTCTTCAGCAATTTGAACATGTATCATCACCATTGACATGAGTATTTAAAACCGATGCAAGAGAAACAGAAATGTTTTTAATAAATACTGGATTAAGATTGCTTGATAGGCATTTCTTAGTAGTTAACGAATGACGAAGTAGACACATACGGATATGAACTTCTTTACTACTGGATGAAGATCCGGATGCCCTAGAGAAGGTGCTGATTTTGATAAAGATCTCAATATACCTGTCAATGGTATTACAGCTAGGTGTTACACCCGAATTTTGTTACAGTCCATTTCAAGAACATTCATAAAATGACAATAAGCATGATATTCAGTCCTTTGAGCCTGCCACTAGGGCACTAAATCTCAGTGAGAACTGGAAACGGCATAGTTCCCTGTCCCACACAGCCCTGTGGTAACAGGACCCTTTATGCCCCAATCATGTCCGAAATGTCAACTCAGCAAAGTAATTCGAGTTATTCTCACATGGAGGCATTTGTAAAACTTGGTCCTATTCAGTTGTTGTTGCAACAATTTAACATGACTGTATGAAAGTATTCGCAGGGCAAGGTGGCATGTCTTGGCCATAGATCAAGAGCTTACAGCGGCAACTGGAAGCCCTGCATGCAATGATGTGTCATGCCCCGTGCACTAGTGCTGCTTTGTGGCTAGGCAGACAGGACCCCCACACTTGGGAATTAGTTTTCAAAGTGGTTTTTATCGTTTATATGGAATATATATATTAAATTTTGATAATTAACATGTGATGCCTGATCATGTTGATAATTTGACTATCAGAAATGAATTTACTGAGGTTTCTTTACAAGTGAGTTTTGGAGGATTTTTTAAATGAGGTGTTTCACCATATTTGTATTGTCTGTAGTCGAATTGTTTTCTAAATTGGTGTCTCTGAATGGTAAAGGATACCAGTTAGGACTAGGGAACAATTTATTTTCATTGGTTTACCGGTAAATATAAATCTTTCTCAACTCATTGATACCCACTGTATTAAATTGAATTACTGTTAATAGGATGTAATTGTGTAGATGCTGATCAACTTGTTAAATCTGGTGCAACAGTAAAGAGTAAAAAGCAGAAAGAAAACAATTCGTAAAAACTGATATATGAAAATGATAATAAAGAATAATGTGTCCCTGCTTCATGTCGCTCTGTGCAAGAGACTGTGTGCTTGCTCTGCTCCTTGAGTGCTGTTAATGGTGGATTTTAGCAGCACAGTGTTGTTTGGTCACTGCATCCCACTGCGAGTGTGGAGACAGTGTTTGTTGTCTGTGTTTGTGTGGCCGGCCACAGGGATGGCAGGTACTGGTGAAGAACTCACTTCAAAGAGCCAACAGACTGGACCAGATACTGAGGTCTGGGGTGAAATACATTAGAGGACAAAGTGCCATTATCATGGTCGTTATGAGGAAATTATGACAGGATTTTGTGCATTCTGGAGGCATTATTTGTTGATAGTGGGTATTATGAATGGTACCCATGCAAACTGCCATTGATATGAGAATATTAATTGATATGAATGATATGAATTTTAGCTGAACAGATCATGCACCTTGCTTCAGCTGAACACATCGTGCACCTTGCTTCAGCTGAACACATCGTGCACACCCTGCTTCAGCTGAACACATTGTGCACACCCTGCTTCAGCTGAACACATTGTGCACCTTGCTTCAGCTGAACACATCGTGCACCTTGCTTCAGCTGAACACATCGTGCACCTTGCTTCAGCTGAACACATCGTGCACCTTGCTTCAGCTGAACACATCGTGCACCTTGCTTCAGCTGAACACATCGTGCACACCCCTGCTTCAGCTGAACACATCGTGCACCTTGCTTCAGCTGAACACATCGTGCACCTTGCTTCAGCTGAACACATCGTGCACACCCTGCTTTAGTGGAACACATCGTTCACCTTGCTTCAGCTGAACACATCGTGCACACCCTGCTTCAGCTGAACACATCGTGCACCTTGCTTCAGCTGAACACATCGTGCACCTTGCTTCAGCTGAACACATCGTGCACCTTGCTTCAGCTGAACACATCGTGCATACCCTGCTTCAGCTGAACACATCGTGCACACCCTGCTTCAGCTGAAAACATCGTGCACCTTGCTTCAGATGAACACATCGTGCACCTTGCTTCAGCTGAACACATCGTGCACACCCTGCTTCAGCGGAACACAAACATCACCATGCTTCAGCTGAACACATCGTGCACACCCTGCTTCAGCTGAACACATCGTGCACCTTGCATCAGCTGAACACATCGTGCACCTTGCTTCAGCTGAACACATCGTGCACCTTGCTTCAGCTGAACACATCGTGCATACCCTGCTTCAGCTGAACACATCGTGCACACCCTGCTTCAGCTGAGCACATCGTGCACACCCTGCTTCAGCTGAACACATCGTGCACACCCTGCTTCAGCTGAACCTCCCCTGTGACTATGTATTTGCTGGCTCAGATACCAGTACATCATCTTGTTAACAGCCTGTGCATGGTATGGCCATTTGTTCCATGTAGTTGTATTCACTGGACCTGTTGGATGCCTGCAGACAAGCATGTAATCCTACCTGACTTCTACCTGTTGTGTCCTGCTTGTGAAACATGCATGTACCATGTGAGTTTACACCGGCTGGATTCCAGGGGGGCTGTGCTCCAGGTGATCAACAGGGAGGAAAGGAATACCCAGTGTAATGGTTCGAACATACAATCACATCCTCTTCACTGGCAGAAATATGTCTGTCTTGTGTTATTCACTTATTTGCTTCCCATGGAATACACTTTGGCTGTGTGGATACCTGGGCAGAATGTCCTCAGTGTGCCATGCTTCAAGCTGCTGACTAGTCATTTCTTGAATGACAGGTCATCTGGCACTTTCAGCAGTGTTTCATTTGTTGTTTATGATGCACTCACCAATAATTCCATCTAATATCATGGCGGTTTGTAAATCGTGTCTGGACCAGACAAACCAGTGATTGACATCATGAGCTTTGATTTACTCAACTGGGATTTGATGATATGCATCAACCTAGTCAGGTAGCCTGACCACCTGATCGATCCTCTTAAGACAAGGGTTCCTGAAGACCATTTTTAACCGTGATCTTCACAAAGTCTTTCTGTTGTGACCTGGCTGGTTTTCTCTACTGTCATATCCAGACGGGTTCGGGTACTGCTCACACTATCGTGTCCTATCTTGGCTAGATGACACTAAAGTGGCTGCTTCACAAAAGCCTTTTCTGGAAGTCTTTACACATACAGTAAACAACGGTTATAATGAACCCAAATGGATCACTAATTTTAGTTCGTTATAACCTTAGTTTGGAATAAGCATGAAGAAGAATAATATTTATTCTACATATACACCCACAGGGGGCAGGGTACAAAACATGAACATGACTAATTAAACATTGAATACGACTAATTAAACATTATTTACACAATAGAATACAAATATATGCACAGCATATATCCGTAAGTTCGTTATAAGTGTGTTCGTTATGAACGAAGTTTACTGGACCTACAAGTCTTGACCTTTACTTAACACTTTCGTGACGTCCTTGACATTACATTTGTTACCAGCAGCTTTGATGTTACTGAAATTGTTTTCAAATTTTTCAGAACTCTTCAATAACGGTAGTTATAAATAAATTAAGAAATCAAACTCAAGTCCGGAATGATGTGGCATTTCTAGATTTCTTCGGCTGTTTGTTGTGTACTCCATTTGGATTTTACTTTTTATTTTATAGATATACATTTTTAAGAAAGATTTCTTGGACTAAATGTTAGTCGAAGATAACAGTAACAGGAGCGTGAGTTGAAGACAACCACAGGACAAGACACTGTGTTCCGTTCCCAGACCCTCTGTACCTTGTAGTTGGTGGGGCAGAGGAGTCATGTGAACTTACAGACCTGGACTCAAGTGTGCAGTGTCTTCCCAGGCTCTGTAGCACCAGGGTGTGTGTGTGTGTGTGTGTGTTTGGGGGTGGGGGTGGGGGTGGGGGGGTGTGTGTGCGGGGAGAATAGCCCCCACAGGCAGCAGCTTGGGCTGTGGAGTGCGTAGAATGAGTTCAGTTTACAGTTGAAAGTAGTCAGAAACAATCGGTTCTGGCCCAAAGCTTCATAATGATTGACAGATTTTGTACTTATATCTACTCGGACACACACCTACCTAAAACAGCGGGTATAGTTTTAACAAGGAATTCCTTCCAAGGAGATTTGTTTGTGTGACGTTTAACCTGTTAGCTACTATATAAATTCTTTTCAATCTTTGTGAACACTTTTTATACCTATAGGAGAGGTGCAGAGCAAAGTTTGATATCAACATTTGTAATTTCTTAGAAAATTTCATTTTTTTACTAAGAATATTTTTACTTATACATTTGTGGGACCTTCAACTTAAAAGCTATGGCATGGATACTTTTCAATTTTAGGTAACAGTTTCCTTTTTAATAGGAGAGGTGCAGTGCAAAGTTTGATTTTGTTAAGTGGATTTTTCTTTGAAAACATTGCTATTTCATTTTTTTAATTTAGAAATATGTTGGCTAATGTTTCTACAAACAATATTTGCAAGGGATATTATGTAAAGGGAGTTGTCAAACCTGTTGTTATTTGACATTAAGTTTAAATTGTTTAGAAATATGCTTTTGAAGTAAAACAGGAATGTTTTCAAGTGAATGAGCAGGTTCTAAGCTACTTGTTAAACATGGAAAATCCTATTTTTCACTTCATTGCCATCATCTGATTTTCTGCTAACCCTGAATTAGTAAGGAGTATGCTTTAATTATTTCCAAGGTAAAAGAAATGTATGTTATATATGCAGTGGAAACACTCAGTAGTTGTAGTGATATGGCCTAAGACCCGGGTTCGATTCCCGACATGGGTACAATATGTGAAGCCCAGATCTGGTGTCCCCCGCCGTGATATTCCTGAAATATTGCTAAAAGCGGCGTAAAACCATACTCACTCACTCACTGATATGGCCATGGTAATCAAAATAAAAACAATAAACATATCATTTGCCCAGGGGGACCAAGAGGAATGAGTTATCAAGAGTTCATATTCAACTCTGGTTTACGTTTCGTAGATAACTAAGTTATGTATTCTCATTGAGGCTTTCTGAAAGTCCAATGTAACAAGGTTTGTTTGTGCACTAGATCATAGCCAATCAAGTCAGATGGAAAATAAAATGGCAGTCGGCCCTACCCCTTCTCTGTCCCTATCACATACCAGACATTGCATTATGGGTGACCTCCCATAGACCCTGTCACCTTGTCTAATTGTTCCCTGGATGCCCCGCCAATTAATTGTGTCACACCGGGAACAACCTGATAGCAGCCAGTTGTGCCGGGATCCTGGGACTGGAGTGCAGGAGGGACTGGGAGCTGATTCATCACTTGGTCAAGACAAAGGGATGAGGCTTAATAAATACCAGGGCTGTACCATTGATGCCAGAGGGCAGAAATGTGGCTTGGGATAGCAAAACTAATGTTAACATTGTTCCTCTGTGGTGGAAGCATAATTGGCTGCAAGGTCCTTTGAAGAGGATAGTTCAAAATAATATTACAAGGGTTTATGCCCACCTTGAGAGTGGGGATCACAGGGCCCGTGAGTCTGGTGGATCATGTTTATCAGTGGAATGGGGTTTTGTCCAGATAAAGCAGATCCTGCATTGTTTATTACACATCAAAAGACTTGAAGCAGAGCTGGAATCATTGAGCAGCTAATCAGGAGCTTGGTGTGTGCTTGTCCCTTGTTTATACGATTCTTGCGTCGATCACAAGATCCATCAGTGTGTGAATGAGTGAGTGAGTTATAATATAAATATGAACGGCAACATCCGGAGTAGTGTTGAAATTATTTGAATGGATCCGGGTTAGAATTGGTCTTCAGCAACCCATATGTGCCATAAAAGGTGATTATGCTTGTCGTAAGAGGCAACTGACAGGATTGGGTTGTCAGACTGGCTGACTTGGTTGATGCGTGTCATCGATGCCAACTGAGTATGCTTATTATCTTAATCACTAGACTGTCCGGTCCAGACTCGGATTATTTACAGACCTCCGTCAAGTAGCTGGAATATTGCCGATTGCGGCATTAAACAACAAACAAACAAATATAATTATAGACATGAGAGGTTGATGTACATAATCTACATTATATATAGAGATATTACATATTATGTTCCTTCACAGTATATAAACATTTCTATATATCATGAGGAGACATGAGACAGAGTTGTGTAGAGGACGCAGTCAGTGTTGCTGCGGTGTCATCTTACACAGGTCAGGGGGTGAATAGAGGGAACTAGGGGAACTTCCCTCAGCCACCATCAGCAGGGTAGAGGTGATGTTGAATGTCGTTAACCCCATGGCTGACTCATGACATACAGGGTCAAGGTTAATTAGTGTTTTGGTAACAAGGATTTGGGAAGAGAAATCGACAAGTGTTCTTTCTCAATATGATTCAGGATTATTTTTACATTGAGAAGTTTTGATGTGATGAGACCTTAAAAGGAAGTATTTTTTTTAGGTATTACTTGAAAAAATGTACTGTTTATTATCGCCTTTGCTTCAGTCATATGAGCTACCTTAGCGCTACATTTTATGGTGTCGAAATGAGTTTGTCTTTGTCTTGTTAAGGGGATCTATTCAAGGGATTAAATATAATTTTTTAATATGTACTGAAAAAAAATATCGTTTGGATCACACATGGCCCAGTCGTGTTAAGGCGCAACAATTCACTGTGCACAGTTGCTTCCCTTGGGCACTCCAGAAATTTATTATGGTGGGTTCGATTCCTGGTTCAACCCAATTATGTTTCCAGATTCAAAAATAGTTGGTTTCATGGTAATATATCACTTCATCACTTCAGGTTTTCCTCCGACATCACGGGGACACGCCATGATAGTATAGGAGTACTGTTCAAAGAGGCGTTAAACCAAACTCACTCACTCTGAGATCAAAACAGATAGGCTCATTTTTTTAAAAAAAGGTGACCATTTGTAAACTGAACCATGGTCATCTGTTTGGAGGCTGAGATGAAGACCATAGGCTACCTTGCCACCCCTGTATACACACATGTTGTCATCCATGGGTTAAGACGGCCAACAGGCAGACATGGTTTGGCTGGCTGGTTGGTCCTGGGCCATTATGAAAGATAACAAGGAAGACCCTCTTGATCCCGGGGCAGAATGGTCATTCCCAGGTGTTGGTGCTTCAGATACTGTGTGGTCCACAAGTGCCCAATTAAACACTTTGCGGTACTTAGCTTTATCTGAGGACTCACGTCTCTTGCAGATGCTCCACAGGACCAGATCAGAGGAACAATTCAAATTGATTTGTATTTAATTGGACCCTAAATATTGTGATGGAGATCAAATAATACACATGATAAATTTGTGTGAGAATTTGTTTTGGTCTGTATTGAAGCATCTTAACCCTGTCAGGATTACGTAGACTTGCACATGTCTGTAAGACAAAGATTGTTACTTAGAAACATAATTCCTGGATTATAGGAATGAAAAGAACAAGTTGTCACTATTAATGACCGGTGTCCTTAGACTGTCAGCTTGTATAGACTTGCTTATCATAAGGACAGAATTACTGTGGACCATTATCATTCAATAGAGACTTGGAGCAAGGCTATTGTTTACAAAACCAAATATGTTCCCAGTAGTTATAAATGGGTGTGTTCAGACACATCTAAAACAGGGATTTGGTGGCTACAACGTGTGGCCTTGCTGTGGATTGTATTTATTTGATTAACCACTGGTTTGTGTTGTCCAGCATGCCATTATGTAGCAACTGTAATATTGCTGACAGTGTTGGGAATATTTTGGACTCCCCAAGTGATTGAATTTACCTCACTGATTGTCTGTAAAATCTGAATGTATATACCGTCCTTGTGTGCCAGGTGGAATTCTAAAGATCTATGGCCAAGCTATCTGCCCTGATGTTCCGTACAAGACGTTGCTACTGTCCACGTCGGACCGCACCAACTCCGTCATCCGAGAGGCAATGCAGAAATATGGCATTGAGAAGGAGGATCCCTCCAGATACTGTCTGGCTCAGGTGGGTACAGTTAGTCAACATTTAAAAAGTTCAATGAAGGATTAAAAAAACACTTTCCACAAAATCTTACCCATTGAAATGCAAAACCAGAAACTGACAAACTAACATTGAGAGTATTGCTAGAGTCATTACAGAGAAAAAAAGAAAAATTACTGAAAATTATACCTATTTTATCCACATATTCCGGACAGGGTTTAAATAGCACCTCTGCAATTGAAGCTGTTATTGTGAAGACCCAGAAAAGTATATTTTGTTGGATGAGAACCCTGCACATCCCAGTTATGGGATGATTTCTCAACTTCATTCAGTATGTAATGCGTGTGTTTGTTATTCAAAATCAGCATTGTTCAAAAGCAAGAACTTAAATCCCTGTTAATTGGGTCTGACCCCTTCCTTTGAGTCTTGCCTCAACAACAATGCCCCATGCTCTGATGCCAATGTTATGCTGGATGAGAACACGACTGTTATATCACACAGTAAAGATTTAAACTGAAACACCTGTGTGATGAATAACCTCAGGTAAGAACAACACTCAAGAGCTTCCCTTGTCATCCAGTTTGTATCCTTCCAAAACAAAAAGGATTATTCAGGTTGTCAAGGTTTCTGCCTTGCGTGCCCAAAACAGTGCATCTCTTTTGCCTGTGCAATATGTGTATGTTCATGAGTGTCTGGAGTGATTTATTCAGCTGTCCTGACCAGCAGTATACACAGGTCCAGAGGTTGTCTAAAGGTCCCGCATGTGGTCAGTGTTGTGCTGGTGGCCAGCTCGGCCTGACTGGACGGACACACTACAAATGCTAGGCATTAGTGGCACATGGCGGCAGCTGGAGTGATTGGCCACATTAAACAAATACCATGAAATTGTTTGGGGTTCTGTAAGTGCAGAGAAAAGCTCTACTGCATTTCCTGTGGTAAGACCATTATATGCTACCTTAAAGTCAGCAAAAAATACCATGTGATGTTGTTTTCTGAGGGGTAGGACTGATATTTGGAGTCAGATGACGAACAAAAGAATTAATTGCAATTTGATTTTACTACAAGGCCCTTTTTTGTGAACTTTCAAAAAAAATAATTAAAAAGATATTTAAAGTCGATTATTATTGTCCCTGGACCAGTTACTATTGGTGTTTAATGTAAATGCAAAAACGAAAAGTTATAATGAAAAAGACTTCCATGAACAGTTTGAAGCCTCCAGATATTCATGAAGGATTTATGAAAGGTTTACAAAAATACGGAAACCAATTCTCCTGAAAAATAATAAAAATGTACTTTTGAAATACACTCAAACAACACAAATATGAGAATAAAAAGTTTATTTTGCTGATCTGCGCACTCTGACCCACTTGATACTGCAGTGAAAGTACAGGAAATGTGGAGCAGAATACAGGACATTGGTACAGGCAAACCATGTTGAATGTAGTGTTATGAGCATTCACTCGGTGAATGGAATCTCACACATTAGAAATGGACCTTAACTATTCCTCTGCAAGAAATGGGGTGGGGATACAGGACCCATTTTCTCAAAAACTATTTAAGTTGAGAAATGAAATTTTTCATACTGATGTTATTAGTCATGATCTCAAAGAGTTCGAAAATTGGTGTCTAATTCATTTTTTGCAGAGTTACGGCCCTTGATCCATGGTATTTTACTAACTGCATAGTATCTCCAGTAGTGACAAGTGTTACTGAAGTTATATAAATGAAAAGCTTATCTATGAGATACTCATCAAAATTAAGTTTAACAAATTGGTACCATGAATTTTTTCCAAAGTTGCATCCCTTTGCTACATATTCTCAAATTTTGGGCATCCTGTCTTCAATGGAGACTATTATTGTTGTGGTTGTTGTTGCTCACTATCATGTGAATTTGTCCATTGAGGAGATTGTATAATAGAAATGACATGGATATGGAATGTGACGCCACATTGTCTTACCAAAGAAATACTTCATTTTACTAGGTGAGAAAGTAATGTACATTACATGGTTCTCCTTGTCATAGATGGTGCTGCCGCCTGGAAGAGTGGAGTACCACGGGGGACAGATAGGGGAGGAGCGGATTCTGGGGGAAGACGAGTGTCCACTCCTGATATTCGCACAATTCCCCAAAAGCAGAGGTGAGTTCCTGTGAATGTGGTTGGACTGGGACTGAGCTAAAATGATAACAAGGTTACTTAATCCAGTACGACACAACCTGGTGCCAATATTGGTATGCCTCATTAACTGGTGACAGTTGAATTGTATACTGCGCTGGTTAGAGTTAATGACTTTGGTTACAGTTGTTCAATGAGTCGTATGCAGTTTATTATGTCTGATAGGAAAAAAAGAACAGAAAAACTCCTTTGATGTCTGTATGTATATTTCATTCTTCAAATGAAATTGACCGTTGGTGATGATGAAAAGTTTGCTGACAAGTATTCCTGTATGACAACAATCACTTATTTATAGCAATAAAGTGTTGAAATATTTAACCATATTTTTGATTACAGGTCAAGTCATATTCCAACTACGACGGGGAACAGATGACGGCAGTCAACCAGCCATGAAGAGACCCCAGAAAGCTCTGTCCCACAACGACCTTCGATATTCACAAGATACCAAGAACATCAATGCAGATGATCTCCCTTTCCTGCTTGAGATGGATCCTAGAGGTTGGCCACTTTACATACTGTTGGGGGCACGGGTGGCCCAGTTGTCTACGGTGCCGCAATTTGCTAATGCAGTGTTGCGTCCTTTGGGCATACCAGGAATCTATGATCGCGGGTTCAAATCCTGGTTCGCCCTGAAAATGTTTCTATGTTTGTTAGCACTGTGTCTGTGCTTGTGGGTTTCACCAAAGTTACCTGTGTCACTTTGGGTTTTCCTCCCACATTAAGCTGACACGCTGTGATATAACCGGAATACTGTTCAAAGCGGCGTTAAACACAACTCACTCACTTCCTAGCCCTGATGCATGGAGAATCATAGACTGCCAGTTTTGCATTGATAATGTAACTTTGGTGACTCTGATGTCTTCTGTGTTCAAAGGGAGGCAACTCCTAAACATATGGTGAACCTCTTTGTATGAACATGTATTGCTCAATGAATGCATATGATGTCAAGGGCATCTAAATACTGCACAGTGTTTATGACTCTCATCTTGTAAGACTAATTTGTCTTTTATCACTTGGTCTTCAGATTTTGTCCAAAATTGTAAGAATGGTGGTGTGACAATACATTTCATGAAAACAATTCCTAACTAAGTTCATTACACGTGCAGGTGGTAAGACCAAACGCCATCTCCTGCCTCTGAATGTAACGGAAGTTGGCAGTGAGAGATCTGTGTCCAATAGCAGCCAGTACCTACAGGTAGGTCACTCACACACTCCATCACTGGTCGTAAGAGGCAACTTAATGGTATGACTGGTCAGGCTCGGTGACCTGGTTGATTGCCTGTCATCATGCCCTGATGGGGTGGATAGTTGCTCACAATATTGTCATTGGATTGTCTGATCCTGACTAGTTAGTTTACAGGCTGATAATAGAATGGGTGGGGCTTGTGTATTAAATCAAGGTTTAAATGATTAAATTAGCAGTCAGTTCAGTTATTATTGTTGATTTATTTCTTTCTAAGAATTGACTCCAATATGTTTTTGCATTTATAGAGTTAAAACTTATTAAGCGATATGCACACCGTTTTTTACATATATCCCTCCAACTTTTTTTAAATGAATTTGACTGATGAATATCTTCTGCTTGGTTGTGGTGGCAGCTGCTGGGGAACGACATCAAACCCCGCCACTGCGTGATCGCCCACACAGAGGGCATCGTCACAGTGACCCCCACCAGCAGGGATGCAGAAACCTACGTAGAGCATCAGCGCATCTACGAGACGACCATGTTGAAAGATGGCATGTCCGTTCAGTTTGGGAAAGCTTTCGTATTTCGTTTCTGTGACCCAAGATTTGATGAGGTGAGGTTTTGCAGAATGTTCTACTGTTATATATTGCATTTGGTGACATAACAGGTAGCTACGTCAGAAAAATCAACCTTTGAAGGCTACTCTTTGATTTCTGACCAGAGCCTTCTTGTACAAAGTGATCTTAGCGCTACAATTGTCATAAGTCTAGGTTAAAGTATGGGATTATGAATGTCTTCACATAATGATTTATTTGTGTAACAAGACTCTGAACATTGCTAAATTTGATTACAGTATTTATATGAGAATATTGTCATCTGTTTCAACAGCCCCGGCGACCGGGCGGACATGACAGAAGTATGCAGAAGCAGCCCCACCCCCAGTTTAATGAACGACCTCAGGAGACCAACTTTGACCTGGATGGTCATGTGGAGACGATGCCGGGCAATGGGTCATCTCCGCGCAGTCCTGGACACACGCCACACCAAGAATGGGAGATGCACAGGAGGTCAGTGACGCATATTTGTGGGCAAATTTAGATTTTGTGTGGGCTTAATATGGAGGTTTTTTTGTTATAGTTTAGGTCATGTTTTTTTTTGTCTTTGTCGTGAGTTGCTGTTCTGTTAAACCAGACTTCCAATATTCATTCCAAGTGCCATATGTGACTCTTCTTTGTTTCATATTTCAGGTCAGCACCAGATTTGCATCAAGGCCCTCCTGACATTGATCCTGGAGATCAACTTCCAGCATCATTAGAATTCAGAAATAATGGTAAAATGTCACACAAACTCTTTTTCTTCAATTACCTCATGCGCTTTAAGGGAGATGGGTTAAAGCGTTTGCTCGTCACGCCAAAGACCCGGGTTCGATTCCCCACATGGGTACAATGTGTGAAGTCCATTTTCTGGTGTTCCCTGCTGTGATATTGCTGGAATGTTGCTAAAAGCAGAGTAAAACCAAACTCACTACGCAAGGGAGATAACTCATGTTATTGGAATAGTAGTCTCCCTTTAATCATGAAGTTGACTTTAGTGTTACTAATTTAACTCATTTTAATACAGATTTGGTTTGTTGGCATTTTGAGATTATATGTGATAATTCTACTTTGTTTCCCTCTTTCAGATGAAAGTAGCATGCTGCGAGATGTGATTTTATCCGTAAACAGCCGGAGTGTTCAGTTCAAACTGGCACCAACATACACACTCTACTTGGGTATTCGGCACTGCTTGTCCCCACACATATTCCCCCAGTTGGCGCCACAGCAGCGGGTCCAGAGACTAGCTGACTATGTTAACAGGATTGCCCGGATGGTACAGAAAGCCATACAGGTTAGCAGACATATTTGATTGAACAGAAGTAAACATTAAGTGCACTAGGGTGAAGTACTGTTATATTTTGCATCCAAGAGGTATTGATTTGATAATCTTGAACAGTAAGTGTTATATAAAATCAAAGAAAGGAAATATTTTTTGTTTTTTAAAAAATAAATTCAGTAGTTTTATTACATATTTAGTTGGCACAAATTATAAAAATAAAAATATGTCTCTCTATGAACAAATTAATGCATTAGCAATTATGAATTACATCTAGAACTAAAATGACTTGTATATTTCAGGAACACCACAACGACCCTACAGCTCTGGCGTTCTGGATGGCCAATGCCTCTGAGGTCCTGCATTTCTTCAAACAAGACCATGATGTCCAGCCTTTCAGCCACGACGCCCAGGAGCTGCTTGCAGAGGCCGTGCAGATGGCATTCCAGCACCTGGTGCGATGTCTGCAGGTGGACTTGCAGCGCGTCATGCCCGCATTCCTGGATGCAAGTGACTTAGAAGACGAGGAGGAGAGGAAAGGTGGGTGTCATGTGACTTGCATAGAGAGCGATGCTGAGGAGCTGCTTGGGAGACTGAAGTTCCATGTGACTGTTCCTAAGCAAAATATTTCGCGATTCATGATAATAAGATTTCATTTTGAATATTGAGCAGCTAGACTGATAGGTGTCATTACAAATTGGTTTAGGAATCATGTACAGTCACATTGTGAAGTCAGATTTGGCAGATTTTTAATTTCTGACAAAATAGGAAATTGTTGGTTAGAGTGAACAATTTGTTATTGTGTATAGTTGGATGTAGTTGATAGTCATGTATAGCGAATAGTTTAATTGATATGTGAATACTTGGTTATTGCGAACATTTCATTATAGTGAATGTGAATAACAAGTTGATGGTATGAATGTGAAGAATGCAGAAGAACCCACTGAATTATATACAGAACATCAAAACAATTTGTTTGATATTTTTTAAAATATTTATTGTAGTGAAGACTGAGCACAGAATTTCATAAAAAAACATCCCTCAATATAGTTATGATCCCTAACGTTTTTGTTCGGTGTACATAATTCCTGTTTTGTGGCAGTTATCTGAGAGCTGTTTGGTGTCTCCCTCCACAGATACCCAGTATGCCAAGCCCAGCCTGACCGATGTCCTCAACACACTGTCGGCAGCCATGACGTTACTGCGACGTTGCAGGGTCAACGCTGCTCTCACCATCCAGCTGTTCTCTCAGCTGTTCCACTTCATCAACATGTGGCTGTTCAACATCCTGGTGACAGAACCACAGCTGCAGCTGTACACAAGGTCGTGGGGAATCCGACTCAAGCGGAGACTTGGACGCATCGAGGCGTGGGCAGAGAAGCAGGGTCTGGAGCTGGCTGCCGACTGTCATCTGTGTCGCATAATACAGGTGACTACCACCCTACTTATGACAGACAGACGCTTTCTTTTTTATTGAATAGAATGGGGACACGGGTGGCCCAGTCGTCTAAGGCGCTGCAATTCGCTGTGCAGAGTTGCGTCCCTTGGGCACGCCAGAAACCTATGATTGTGGGTTCGAATCCCGGTTCGCCCCGATTATGTTTCTAGGTTTGTCAACACCATACCCGTGCTCGTGGGTTTCACCGAAGTGGTAATCGTCTGAGACCTGCATCACTTCAGGCTTTCCTCCCACATTAAGCTGACACGCCGCGATATAACTGGAATAGTGTTAAAAGCGGCGTTAAACCCAACTCACTCACTCACTCACTATTGAATAGAACAATGCTGATATCTTCTGGTTTCTGTCTGTAATGAAATGTGGGGTTCGCATTGATGCTGTTTCTAGGTTAGTCAGCACCATACCCATTCTCGTGGGTTTCTCCAATGGGGTAAAAGTCTGAGACGTGCTTCACCTCGGGTTTTCCTCCCACGTTAAGCTGACATGCTGGGATATGACTGGAATACTGTTTAAAGCAGCGTTAAACCCAACTCACTCACTCACTCACTCACTCACTCACTCACTCACTCACTCACTCACTCACTCACTCACTCACTCACTCACTCACACTGATATAACCTCATCATTTTCCCGCATTAAGGATATTTGGGCAATGTGAGTCTTTCAGTTTGGAATCCCTGTAAGGTACTGTAACTATGTTGTTATCTGCCTCCTGAAGCCCTGAGTTTGTTGATTCACTTGCATCAAAGCTGATGTAGCCAGTGTTAGAAGAGTTGCTTTGTAACGTCCTCCCTTCTGCCCACAGGCTGCACACCTGCTGCAGACGCCGAAGGTGTCCGGTGACGACATCACCAACATCAGCTCCACCTGCTTCAAGTTGAACTCACTCCAGCTCCACACGCTTCTGGTGAGATACATCCCAGAACCCAGGGAGCCGCCTGTCACACGGGGATTCATCGAGAAGGTGGTGACCATCGGCAAGAACATGGCGGACGAGCTGACACGGACAGACGGCCGGGAAGTTCGGCTGGAGGAGGATCAGGATCTGCATCTTCCCTTCCTGCTCCCAGAGGATGGCTACTCCTGTGACACCATCAGGGGGGTCCCCACTGGGCTGCCGGAGTTCATCAAACCCATGACTGCTGCAGGTGTGTGTCTGTCATTTAGGATAAGCCCTATGGCTGTCTGTTTAATGTCTGCCAAGACTAATGTATGTGGTCTAAGTGTAAGATGATGTTAAAAGTTAATCCTTTGTTATTTTGTTTCAGGTATTTGCCAGATTGTCCCGAACAATGGGTCTAGTGGCAGCTGGACTATCTACATGGGAGACGGAGGAGGGAGAAGCTTGGAGGTATGGATAGTGCAAGAAGTCTGTCATCTTTGGAGAGCAATGACATTTAACTGCAGAGAAATCTTGTTAATAAGGAGAGTTTCCATTATTCAAATATTTAACAATGGTGCCAATATTCAACCATGGTAACAATGTTCAACCATGTTGCCAATAATCAACCTTGGTGCCACTATATGACCATGGTACCAGTATTCTGTCAGGGTGGCAATATACGACCATGATGCAAACATTATACCATGGTGCCAATAATGGTTCTGCTGATATATCGAGTAGTGGATTTTATGAAGCACATAAAAGTCAGTTAGAATGAAACTTTACAGACCAAATGTGTCAAAGCAAGCTTTGATTGTTGGTCTTTTGTCTTCATGTTCATTCAGAAGGATGTTTCTATCATCTTTTACTGCAAATGTCATTAAGACCAAGCCTATAGATGTGTTATTGATTATATTCAGAACACCCCTCCAAAAGGTCCACCACCACCCCAGAGTGTCCAGCCCCCCAACAATCTACCCCGACAACCAGAGGTCATGGTGGTCATCTTCAAGAAGGTCAACGGCAGTATGGGACTCAGCATTGTTGCTGCCATGGTAAGTAAAACATGAGAATGTTGTAAATTTCAAATTAAATAAATAAATAAATAGATACAAATTATGTCTGGTTTAAGATTTTCATCCACAAACATACCGGGTCGTGAATCATCCGAGCAGCATGTTTAGATCATATAAGACCATAGGCCCAGTGCATCAGCTTCATGTAGAAAGGCCCCGAGAAGATCCGGAATGGGATAGAATAGCGTCTTCAGCAACGCATGCTAGCCGTAAAATGTGACTTTGTGAAAAAGCTTGTTGTAAGAGGCGACTATTCAGGTGGTCAGACTCGCTGACTTTGTTGATGCATGTCATCAAATCCCAATTGCAAGGATTGATGCTCATGATGTTAATCACTGGATTATCTGGTTCAGATTTAATTATTTACAGACCGCTGTCATATAGCTGGAATATTGCTGAGTGCGGCGTTTAACAAAAACCAAACAAAACATGTTTACAGACCATGGTGGATGTGTGACAGTGCGGTTAAGAAGCAGACGGTCAGGGCTTTGATCCCTGTTAACATCTGATGTAGCCATACAAACTGATCTTCTCATATTTGGAGATCTGTTTGTGATTTTGAAGTTAATTTGAGTCTGAACATGTTTACTATGTGTGTGGAATGTTTGTTACAGGGTGAAGGTCAGAGGGAAAGAGGTATCTACATCAAGTCGGTAGTTCCCAATGGTGCCGCCGCCCTGGTGAGTCTAGCTGCCTAGCAGGAGATTAGACTACTGTCACTACTGTCACTGTGTTGATGTACAGAAAGTCATTTTTGGTCAACTGGGAAATTATAACAGCCATTAGTAGCATCAAGTCTTGGAGGCAACTATGCTTGTCGTAAGAGGCAACTATGCTTGTCGTAAGAGGCGACTAACGGGATCAGGTGGTCAGACTTGCTGACATGGTTGATGCATGTCATCGTATTTCATTTGCACGGATTGATGATCATGATGTCAATCTCTGGATTGTCTGATCCAGACTCAATTATATACAGATCACCGTTATATAGGTGGAATATTGCAGATTGCAGCGATAATCAACAAACAAACTAAAGGCAGTAGTAATACAGTTGGTGTTGAATCTCTTGAAGTTTTAAACAGAATTTTGAACTACAAAAAAAGAGATCATTGATGACAGGATCTAGGTTATGAAACTGATGACAGCCAGATGTTGGAATCGGTTGATGAGTTTGTTCATTATGGATGAGTCATGTTTTGAATGTTGCAGGATGGCCGTCTACAGGCTGGAGATCAGCTGCTGGAGGTGGATGGCCGGAGTCTTGTTGGACTCTCCCAGGACAAGTAAGCGCTATCCTGTTTGTCAGCTCCAGGCGTCACTATTTACCTATCACATAATGTTTTGCTTATCCTGCATTACCCCTTAATGCATTTACTGCTTACACTTCCTTCCTTGTTGACGACGAGCAGTAATATGATTTGATGTGACGTCACATCTGGTCACATGACGGCAGTGATGGTCCTACAAAAGCAGGACTTGAGATGGAAACAGCTTTTTTCTCTTTCACCAAGGACCATCGCTAGGCACTGTCTCTTTTGTGGTAAGGTAAACAGTAAATGCATTAAGGAGTAATGCAGAATAAGTATACAAATGTAAAAAATATTTAGATTTTACTAAGATATTGCTTGTTGTGTATAACAACATCGTCTCTTTTGTCTGCACTGCCTTCACCTCAGTGAAATCGGTGGAGATTTTGGTCCCTAAATAATTAAAACTCAACTGATATTTGGCAGCAGTATGTTAAGATTAACCTTTTACTTATGTAGGCGTTTCTATGTATATGCCTATACAACTAGTGTACAATGTGGTTTTCCCTTCAGAGCCGCAGAGCTGATGACACAGACTGGGCACACTGTTACCCTGAAGGTTGCCAAGCAGGGAGCGATCTACCATGGCCTGGCCACCCTGCTGAGTCAGCCCTCACCCACCATGCAGAGAGGTGAGCTCATCCTAGAGATACCTTGTCTTTAGATACATTCTGAATGTCACTCTGCTGTAGTTGTCCTGGAAACATGTTCAGTTTGTCACTCTGCCATAGTTGTCCTATAGATACTTTCAGAATGTCTGGCTACACTAGATGCCCTAGAGATACTTTCAGAATGTCCCTCTGCCATAGTTGTCCTGGAGATACTTTCAGAATGTCTAGCTACAATAGTGGTCTTAGATCTTTCAGAATGTCACTCTGCTGTACTTGTCTTAGAGATACTCTTAGAATGTCTGGCTACAACAGTTGTTCAAGAGATACTTTCAGAATGTCTAGCTACAATAGTTGTCCTGCAGATACTTTCAGAGCATCTGGCTACAATAGTTGTGCTGCAGATACTTTCAGAGCATCTGGCTACAATAGTTGTGCTGCAGATACTTTCAGAGCATCTGGCTACAATAGTTGTCCTGCAGATACTTTCAGAGCATCTTGCTACAGTAGTTGTCCTGCAGATACTTTCAGAATTTCTAGCTACAATAGTTGTGCTGCAGATACTTTCAGAGCATCTGGCTACAATAGTTGTCCTGCAGATACTTTCAGAGCATCCTGCTACAGTAGTTGTCCTGCAGATACTTTCAGAATTTCTAGCTACAGTTGTTGTCCTGCAGAAACTTTCAGAATGTCTGGTCATTTGTCAAAGTCTGGCTAGGCTGTTTGTCCTAGAGATACCTTGTCCTGTGTATTGACTCCAAAGGTCATGAAAAAGGCCATAATAAAGACATTTCTGGAGTGTTCAACACTTCCAAGAGTACCTTCAGACAGTGTACACCTAATTCAACTTGAACCAATGGGAACTGATGGAAGACAAGATATAGCTGATTCTTATCCTGTTTTGCCTTGGTTGCAGCTGCCTCACAGCCACAGAACAATCGTCCAGGACAACAGAACAACCGAATAAAGCTGAACCATGAGGAGGGGCCTCCACCGTACACTGAGTCCCCCTCCGACCCCCGCAACAACCGCACTGACCCCCGCCTCTTCAACGGTATGGGGGGCAGGGGACAGGAGAGCCCGAGGATGCCACCCCACCAAGCTGGCAGATCACCCCACATGGACCAGCCTCATAGTCAGTAGCTGAGAACATGTCTTTATAGTAACCTGTTCCATTAAACAGTTACAAAAGAATATTTATCAATTCCCTGAAACAAGGTTACAATACTATTCTTGGGGCACGGGTGGCCCAGTCGTCTAAGGCGCCGCGAGTCGCTGTGCAGAGTTGCGTCCCTTGGGCACGCCAGAAACCTATGATTGTGGGTTCGAATCCCAGTTCGCCCTGATTATGTTTCTTGGTTTGTTAGCACCATACCCGTGCTCGTGGGTTTCACCGAAGTGGTAAACGTCTGAGACCTGCATCACTTCAGGCTTTCCTCTCACATTAAGCTGACACGCCGCGATATAACTTGAATGCTGTTAAAAGCGGCGTTAATCCCAACTCACTCACTCACTCACTCACTCACTCACTCACTCACTCACTACAATACTATTCTGAACAAAAAAGTTATGGATCAGCAAAAGTTGGTGGGGGCTATGAAATTGTGTGTTCAGTTCAATCTTCACTAAAAGATATTAATGATCCTCAACTATTTGTTTGTTCAGTATATGTATGTGTTTCAGTTACAATGTTATTGTTATGAATTATTTTAAATTGGGCTACAATATTCATATGTTCCTTTTAGAAGGGTAACATACTTGTGAGGTCCATCTTTAAAGGATATGTTAAAGGTTCAGGTTACAAAGTATTTCTGTGGCAGTAATTCAATAGAAGGACATGGTAGAGCTTTTTAGATCATGTCATCTTGGGGTCAAAGTGATTTGATCTCTTGAAGTTTGTGGAAGGTGGAACACTTACACAGTGCCACATATTTACCTGTGAATGGTCAAGCTTCCATGCCCTGTATAAACATAAGATAAGTAGCATAATGGCTGTTTGCAGTCTGGAACCCTCTGTGGTTATTCGCTTGCTCTGGTTGAAACCAGGCCTTATTGTTCTGTTTGATTCTGTTAGATTTTCTTTATACTTGTCCATTGTTATGGGTGATTTTGAAACATGGCAGTATTTTAAAGCAGATTTTGTGATTTATTAAACTTCAACTTGATACTTTGCAGAGGATGACCGTTTTCGAGCTCCATCTATGGGCAACCTAAATAATGGACGTTTTCAACCTAACCAAGCGCCATATGATCCCAGCACGCACAGACGGGACCCCCATGAACAAGATCCTCGCTCTAAGTCAACATCTAACCTAAATATGGACACTTCATATGATCGTCCTGATCCAAATGTTATGAAACCTGCTGCCTCAGTTGCTGCCCTTGGTCCTGGTCCTCAAGGTCATCCTTACCCTCCAAATTTTGGTCGCAAACCAAATGACTACGAAAACCAACCGCAGTTGAACAGCTTGCCCCCAGAAAGGAATGAGCCTGTAAAACCAGTTCGAAGCTTTACAGACATCAATCAAAACAACATGCCCACAAAACCCTCTCACCATCATAGTCAGCCTTATCTTCATCCACAACGACCTAACGATCGCTCATCTGTGTCCTCGAGGACTTCATCTAACAGTAACCGTGACAACAGACCCCAGTCTGCATATTATGATGGCCAGAATAGAGAGGACTTTGGTCAATTGAGACCCAAGTCAGACGAAATCACTCCCAACAAGATACGGGAGTGGCAGGAGAAATTGGAGGATCCTCGCACACAGCCATTCCAGAACAACCTTCATCCTGATCACCATTCTCCTCATTATAATCCTGGAAGGGACGTGAACGACGCCCGAAATATCCAAGACATTCCAAAACTGACGGTCAACAATCATCCTCGGCAGCCCAATTTCTATGAAAACACAGGTCCGTCACAAGAAGCTGTTCCTCCCTTCCATCAGCTTCCGAAGCAGAATGACGAGAAACCCAAACCACCTGTCAAACCCAAGCCTGCAGCGAAGCCCACGCAGCCAAGAGTCACTCCCACCGAAATTCCATTCACACAAGTTGATAATCGGTTGTCACAGCCCCAGTTTTTCGATCCTAAGTCATCTCAACAGGAGTCACCCAACTTCTATAATCCTCATGCAGGGAAACAACCGTTCCAGGCACCTAGACAGGACCCTCGGGCTTCGTTTGGACAGAAGAAAATTTCTCCCGAGAGGCAACCTGGTCCATACGGGTATCGAGACCAGGAAGATATGCCTCCTCCCCCTCAAGATGAATATGCCCCCGAGTTACCCCCACCCCCATCTAATGATGACCTCCATGAGAACTCTCCACCCCTTCCCCCTCCTCCATCACAGGAGTATGTGCTTGAACAACAACTGCAAGACGAACAAAGACGCATGATGAACCAGATGGGTCAGCAGAGGAATTTTAACTCCGATCCCCGGTTTGGTGGACCTGCTGGATATGGCCGGAATGAGTTTGATGGTCAGCAAGGCCAGTTCCCTGACCGGAATCGTGCTGGTCAAGGACATAATGATAGACAATTACCAGGTAACCAGCAGAACAACATTCATCCCAATTATCAGAATATCAGCTTTGGTGGTCCCGAGACCCAGCCACCTCCTATTCCACAGCCTCCTGAGCATAATGTGTACGAACAATACGAAACGCAGAGGTCGGAAATGCAGCCACCTCACCAAGCTGGTGCCATGCACTTAACCGTAAAGGAGGAGTACAACGTTGGAGCCTCCCCCTGGGATAGAGAGGAGAAGGAGAGAGAGCAGGAGAGGTATGAGGAAGACATGTCCAAGATGAGGGAGATGGAGATAGCCGGGCTAGAATCAAAACAGTACCTCAACCCACAGGAGCAGGAGCGACTTCGGAAGCTGCGGCTGGAGCAGGAGTTTCAGCGGCGGGTGAAGGAGTCGATGGACAAGGATGAAGATGAGGACTCTGATACAGAGCTTGCAGAGAGGCTCTATGTGAGTGGGCGTTGCATTGTTGTAGAGATCTTATTCAATTGTTTTTCTTTTTCGGTTTGGGGGCGGTCGGGTAGCCTAGTGGTTAAAGCGTTTGCTCGTCACGCCGGTTTGAGGACATTTTTGCTGTTTGTATCCTAAAGAACCTGACAACTTGTAGCCTCCTTGTCTTGTACAGTCTACTTTTAGTGTTCATGTGATCCATGGTAGAACACTTTGGTGACTAAATGGGGTAAATAGTGGATATGATTAAGATGGGTGCTAAAGAGGTAAATAAGAATGCTTATTCTAAGGTACTCTTCTCAGACATCATAACCTAGACAGCTTGGAGTAATCTACCCATTGGATGTTGGTTAGTCTGTCTGTGAGGCTGCCATTCAAATCTTGTGTATCAATCATCCTGTGAGAATTCCTGGTTAGAATTGGTCCCCATCAATCGATGCTAGTCGTAAGAGATGACCAAATGGATCGGGTGGTCAGATTGGTGACTCCTTGTATCCTGGCGTGGATTGATTTTCACAATATCGATCACTGATCTGTTCCTTGCTCCATTCTTTACCGATGTTCTTCATATAGCTGGAATATTGCTGAATGTGGCGTTAAACAACAAACAAACAAATCATATCAATCAAACAATGCATTCTCTACTTTTCTTGAACTATACATTTCAGTCTCGAGAACGGATGATTCAGGCCATGAAAGATGATCTGGACAAGTCACGGAATCGTTTAATTGACCTGGAGAGGAAACGAATGATAGATGAATTTGAAGCTGAGAAAGATCGGTTAATGAGGTAGGTGACATTGTTGAAACCAACACTTTAGGACATACTTATAACTTGACGAGCTCACTCACTGCTGTGTTAACCAGAGCTGAAGTCAGCTGTCCTTTCGTCTGCAAAGATGGGGGACACGGGTGGCCCAGTCGTCTAAGGCGCCACCATTCGCTGTGCAGAGTTGCGGCCCTTGGGCACACCAGAAACCTATGATTGTGGGTTTGAATCCCGGATCGCCCAGATTATGTTTCTAGGTTTGCCACACCATACCCGTGCTTGTGGGTTTCACCGACGTGGTAAAAGTCTGAAACCTGCATCACTTCAGGCTTTCCACCCACATTAAGCTGACACGCCATGATATAACTGGAATACTGTTAAAAGCGGCGTTAAACCCAACTCACTCACTCTGCAAAGATGACAATGCTGCCAGCATTTATTGTTTTGTGTTTGGGACATTGTGAGATGAATGTGTGGTGATTGATTATTAAGTGTGAGTATGTTCTTGTGTGTAGGTTAGAGCGTCGCCTGGAACAGTTTGAGAAGGACAAAGAGGATCACAAACTGAGGATCATGAAGAGGCAGGAGAAGCGACAGAAGGATCATGAAGAGCAGCTCCGGAGACAGAGGGTGAGGATTGGGTTAGGTGATGGGCAACAGGGTGGTAGGTCATGGTAGTGCATGGAAAGGGATGAGTCTGTACAGCTTGGTAATAGGAGTCCATCTGGGGGGATTGTGGTTGTCCACAGAGGTGGTTGGTAGGTCATAGGAGTCCATTTGGGTGGATTGTAGTCCACAGAGGAGGGTGGTAGGTCATGGTAGTGCATGGAAAGGGATGAGTCTGTACAGGTTGGTAATAGGAGTCCATCTGAGGGGATTGTGGTTGTCCACAGGGGTGGTTGGTAGGTTGTAGGAGTCCATTTGGGTGGATTGTAGTCCACAGAGGAGGGTGGTAGGTCATGGGAGTGCATGGAAAGGGATGAGTCGACACAGGTTGGTAATAGGAGTCCATCTGGGTGGATTGTAGTCGTCCACAGAGGTGGTTGGTAGGTCATGGTAGTGCATGGAAAGGGATGAGTCGACACAGGTTGGTAATAGGAGTCCATCTGGGTGGATTGTAGTTGTCCACAGAGGAGGGTGGTAGGTCATGGGAGTGCATGGAAAGGGATGAGTCGACACAGGTTGGTAATAGGAGTCCATCTGGGTGGATTGTAGTCGTCCATAGAGGAGGGTTGTAGGGTAATTAGGAGTCCATCTTTAAATGGATGTTGGTCACTCATGGGATTCTTTTTTGTAGCTGGTGGGAGGCTGGTCTGGGAGTTAATTAGGAAGTTTTGAATCTAGTGTTTCATTCGTTTTATTTGGCGACATTTGGGAATGCTATCAGGGAATCCATGTGGAGAGATTTGAGATGACTTTTCCTGCAGTTGTTTGAATTTGTGCAATTTACATTCCGCACTTCATTGTACAGAACTCACCCTTGTGTGGCTTTGTCCACTTTTGTAACATTTAAATTCATCATCAGATGAACAGAATCATTTGTAAATGTACTCTTTATGTTGACAAAGGTTTATTTGAAGATGACAGTTTGATTTGATTTTAAATGGTCTGTGCGTAATGTTTTAGGAGTTAAGAGACAATCAGCGTCAGAGGTTTGAGGAACAGAAGCGTCTGATGATGATGGAGGAAGAGAAGATGCGACAGAGGAGGGAGGAAGAACTGGCCAAGAGGAAGCAATATGTATGTAGTTTATAGGCCGTGATGACCAAAGACTTTATCCACAAGGCTACTATCCAACTGCTCCTTCATTTGAAGGAGATGATTACATTTAGATACTTATCAAAACAAGTTAAAGGACACCCACAGTTGGAAGCTGTGTGGTACAATACCTACCAGTCATGACACAATAAAGTATTGGTGTTCTGTAACTTCTTTTGAATAGTATAGTTTAGGCTCATTTGTTGAACTTAATGTGGACAGATTTTCACAAAATTACTTTGAGGTAGATTTATTTGCTGATATTCTACAAATACAAAAGGTTACATTGGCTCTTGGGCTCTGAGCTAGATCAATAGTGATGACACTTGTTTGGTACAGAGAATGAACGTGAAGGTATTCTTGTCCTGTTGAATTAGTGACCTCTGTAATCATGTCATGGAAAGATTATTAAGTTAATTTTTATCCCCCCGGCATATAATGCGGGGGGATATAGCGATCAGCCAGTCTGTCTGTCTGTCCGTCCGTCTGTCCGTCCGTCTGTAATCATTTCCTTTTACGGGGCAGAATTCGAAAACCGTTCAGTGTATTTGATCGAAACTTGGCAAATCTATCAGGCACATACTGAAGTGGTGCCTTTTGATATTTTGGGATTTTTCTAATTTTTATTTTTTAAAATTTTTATGGAATGAAGTTGGACATAGACTCAATTGGGGATGGGGTTCGTTTCCGGGGCAGAATTCGAAAACCATTCAGTGTATTTGATCGAAACTTGGCAAATCTATCAGGCACATACTGAAGTGGTGCCTTTTGATATTTTGGGATTTTTCTAATTTTTATTTTTTTAAATTTTTATGGAATGAAGTTGGACATAGACTCAATTGGGGATGGGGTTCGTTTCCGGGGCAGAATTTGAAAACCATTCAGTGTATTTGATCGAAACTTGGCAAAGCTATCAGGCACATGCTGAAGTGATACCTTTTGATATTCATTTTTTTACGAATTTTTATTTTTTACAATTTTTATGGAAAGAAGTTGGACCTAGACTCCATTGGGGAACGGGTTCGTTTCCGGGGCAGAATTCGAAAACCATTCATTGGGTAAACAATGTATGCTTCTAAAGGAAAATTCAACTGTTGACTCATTACATACAGAATTGCACATTTACTAGTGGTTACTTTACAGACAGCTGCCGGGGGGATATGTCATCTTTCTGATGACTCTTGTTTACTTATCCTGCATTACTCCTTGATGCATCTACTGCTTAACTTTCGACAAAGAAGATGAGCAGGAATGTGAATTGGTTGTGACGTCACAGCCTGTCACATGACAGCGGCAGTGGGCTCTGCAAAGAATTAGACTTGAGATGGAAACAACACTTTTTTCTTACCCAGGACCATCGTGAATGCACTGTCTTCTTTGTTGTAAGGGAAGCAGTAAAGAGTAATGCAGGATAAGTATACCCATGTAAAAGATATTTAGATTTTACTGATCTTCCATTGCACTGGAAAGCATTATAACAATGCTAGGTGGTTTATATTGACGAGAGCTTTTAACCTTTGTTCCAATCTTTCAGGAGCGAGAACAGTTGCAGGAGATGCAGGCAGCAAGAGAAATTGAGGAGGCCACACTCCGGGCACAGATTCGGCAACAGGAGGAGGAGTATTCCCGGAAACGTCTGGAGAAACAGAAACAGCTCCGTCTGGAGCAGCAGCGAGAGATACGTGTGTCATCCGAGAGACAGAGGATCGAGTCCATGCAGGAACAGAACCGGGCTCCTGGATTCGATCATCAGCCCTACGCTAATCTCCCACCTACCCAGCCCAACAGGGATGTGCCACAACCTCCGGAGAGAAACAGTTCCTTTAATATGATTCAGAGAGGTAGCATGCGAAATTCAGACTATCAGGGGACCAATTTTCGTGATCAGCCCCAGCCGGTCAGGAGGATGGGTCCAGAGACCACTGCACCTGCTACCATGCCTGTGCCCAAGAAGTCAGTGTCATTCAATACTCAGCTAGAGCAACTGAATACATACAGCGTGGGAAGTGTCAGCGGGGAATCCCACCCATCTGTGTCGTCGTATCGTTCCTCGCAAGGCTCCCAGTCAGAATCTGCAGATCATCAATTCATGGACCATCCTGGAATGGCTCATGAGTCAAACGATGTGTTTGCGTCACCGCCGCAAAACAACATCAATCATGATATCACGTATATTGCTGGCGGAACACCTAATGTTGTTGGTGCCCAGGAGATCTACAGAGACCCCCGACAACGGATCGCGGCACAAAAAGCAGCAAACTCTATCAAAAGGCCAGGCGCGGAAAGAATGTCATTCAGAGACAAGATGAAGTATTTTGCTACTGAGGCTGGTGAAGACACCATTAAATTGAAACCAAAAGCTTCCAAGACTTTAAGAACCATTGAATCTCAGTTAAATGGCCAATAGTTTCAGTGCATGGAGTGACAAATTCATGAGGATGGTTGAAAAGAGAGTTGGCCGCCGGAAGAGGTCCGTGTGGTATTTGTGCCCTGGTGTTAAAGCTGTATGTAAATATTCTTCTCAGGTTGACGATGGGCCGGACGCATGTGGCTGGTAATGGGAGGCTGGGAGGAAATACATGGAATTAGTTGTACAAAGCAGCTCTTTGTTGGGGCTGACTTCAGTGTACCGTTCCTCAGTGCTGAGAAAATATATCTAATATATTGCTTCCTGAAGCAATAGTGCTTTGAATCGTGTACATTGATGAGATATGTCTGAAGAGAAGACGAAGACTTTAGCAAACTGAAATAACTTGCCATTAGACGTTGTAGCATTCCATCGATAACATGTTATCATTTTATTTCCCTCATTTATGAAAAACGATACAAATGTTAACTTGACGACCTTTTTTATTCAGAAATCATGACACGAAGGCATTCAGAAATGATTTCACATAAGGTAGATGATTTCACTATTACAAGACTTGTACAAAGATATGAGTAAAAGTGAAATCTGTTTAAGAGGGAGAAAGGTGACTGATCACAGACAAGCATATTAAACATGTTTTGCTCATTTCGTACATATATAGATATATATCATATTTGTTTGTCAGTTGTCGAGTGTATAGTGTACATACACAGGCGTCATTCCTTCTTGTGGTGCATTGTTTGTAAAATATGTATTCATTTAGGGAACATTTTAAATTTAGTATTTTTACTACCCAACTTTTATATCTTTGAAAATAGTTTCTGTGCTAACATTATAGTTCTTGCGGAAGTGTTTTATAGATTTTCTGTATTTTGTCCATATAATGTGTATATGCCTCAGCAGGGGCCGCCCTGCTCCATCTATTTTTGTCATCTTATCATGTCATGGCTGCTGCGAGTAACTCTGCATATCTTCATCGTTGATACGAGCGTGCTGGGAGATTGCTTTCAACAGACGTCATCAGAGTATTCTTTGTCAAATTACATGTTGATAGGCAGGCCAAAATATTTCTCGTTGATGTATCATTTCATGTTTCAACCCAAGATTTACAAAAGGAAACATATAGGTACTACTAAAAGAAAGTTAAGTACCACCCGAATCTGTTGTGACAGATCAACTATTGTAATTGGAAAGAATTGGTTGGTCCTTTACTTTTTTTGAGTGGTATATGTTTCATTTCATTAGACACATTGTTGAATTGATGGGACGCAGTCCCTCTCAGCATCCAGTTTCCTGTGTAGTTTCCGTAATGAAGTCATGTATCATTGTACTGATGAAGATATGCAAAGCTGATGTAGGCCATTTGTTGACATATCGCCAGCTGGTTGTGAGGTTTCTATGCAGTGAGTCCATGATGTTTTAGGCAGTGCCTTTACTAATGACATCCATCCAAGCACCTCAGTGATAACGTTTACAAATCAGAGTGTAATTTTCTAACTATGTTCCCAATGATATTGTGATACAACATTGATATTTTGGTTGTGAATCTTAACTCTGGCCGTCCTCCGCAAGTACCTTTCACCCTTCCAGGGTTTAGCAATGGAAATATTTAAGGAGTAAAATAACTGTAAATTTTCATTGAATGTATAAGTGCTCTTCTTGCAAAATAGCACAAAATGAGTGGAACTGAACCTATGGGAGAATATATATCTCAAAAACAAGTTTCAGGAATGTTGACTGCTTAAAGAACAAAATTTCAAAAGTTGCATGACTTGAAATCTTTAAGCAAGTGAATGGGGAAAAACAATGTATTTTATCCTTGTTCTGAATTATGCTACTCAACATTTGATAGGAATATTCGAGTTCATGTGAGGTCTGAATAATACATAGTATGTACTGCTCAATATTTGCTAAGAACCAAAATGGTCATCTTTAGTCAAAGGTGTGGTTCTTAACAATGGTTGAGTGGTATGGTATTTGACTTTTTCTTGGAACTGGCATTTTTCGGCTTCATGTCAGCATTGGTTCACATTTCGATGAATTATTGTCGAAGAATCAGGTCTCATCTCTGTATCCTGATCTAATGTTGAGTAGTATAGTTTCAAAGTCAGCTATGGAAATATATTTTTTAACTTCAGTTTCTGACATGCAACAGAGGCATGTTATTGACAGCACGTGAAAATGGGTGTTTTATCTGCTACTAACTACAGCATCTAGTTCAAGGTCTGTGATAATGACATGTCAGATATGACAGGAATCCACTAACATGCCTACACAAGACAAATTCACAGACCCAAGGTGGAAACGTTAGCCCAGATGTAGATCTTATTACACTGTACATTATGATTAAGTATATACATTGGAGCAATAAAATCATACAGAAAATACTCTCCTTTTATGTCTTCTTTTCAGCCATGAATGTGTCAAAGCAATGGTGGAATGAGAGCAATTTTCAACACGTCTGACTTTTTGTCTGCGTTCACTTATGATACGAAACGGAACAAAAATAGTTTGGGATCATAAATATTTTGTGGGATGTTTTTATGAAATGGTGTGGAATTATTTTATAAATTGTGTCTTCACTACAAATATCCCCCAAAAATATTCATTGTCCCTAACTTTTTTTGTCCTGTAGAGGGACACACAAATACAGAAGTGCTGAACGGACATGAATAGGAGACAAGATATTTATACGTAGGCTGTGGTACAGTGTGCACACAAAATACTATACTGTGCACATGAGGGGGCACGGGTGGCCCAGTCGTCTAAGGCGCCGTGATTCGCTGTGCAGAGTTGCGTCCCTTGGGCACGCCAGAAACCTATGATTGTGGGTTCGAATCCCGGTTCGCCCCGATTATGTTTCTAGGTTTCTCAGCACCATACCCGTGCTCGTGGGTTTCACCGAAGTGGTAAACGTCTGAGACCTGCATCACTGCGGGCTTTCCTCCCACATTAAGCTGACACGCCGTGATATAACTGGAATACTGTTAAAAGCGGCGTTAAACCCAACTCACTCACTGTGCACATGAAATGAAGAGACCTGATTAGAAATAATTGTATATTATATATTATGTTGTAAAAGTGTAATACTATTTTTACCCTAGAGAGCAACAGTGTCATATTACTCATGAAATGATTGTGAAAGTTGACTCCTTAACATATTGATAGTTGACTCAATGACATACTCCTTATATTAAATAGTCCTGTGTGATTGTTTATGATATTTGTTTGTACTTTAACTTCTGTTAAATGACTTTTAGAGAATTCTTGTATCAACTTGTCATTGTCACACACGCCTCTTTATAGTCTTATGAGCAACACGTGTGTCCACGGGAGCAAAGTCAATTTCATCGTCATGACCTGCACGTGCACAACATGTGTACACCCATCATGTGATTATGAGGGCAGCCATCTCCTACACTGGTAGAACCGACTTGGTGCAAGTTCTGGCGAACTTTACAGCACAACGTTACACGGATAAGATTCTTCAGCCACACTGTTACGTGTTGATTCCCAAATTGAAACAAAAAATTTGTACGTAAAAAACTTGAGACCAACAAATGACATACAATTAACAAGTGTATTACAAAATTAACTAGGTTACAAGTCAACACAAATTACTGCACAACAATTGCACAGCAATTACAATGGCAGTACACAATTGATTAATAGTGAAATATTCAGTTAGGGTATGTCATATGATTGCAGTGGTCAGCATCAAATACAAAAATACAGGGGCAAAAGTTGGTAATAATAGTATAATCAGTTGCGACGATGGTCAAGCTTCCGAGATTGGGCAAAGGCAGGGATTCCGGTGTGATCTTCACATGAAAGCTGGTCTTGATGTAATCTCAGATAAATATGTGTGAATGTTAAGTAACACACTCTTTTCACCTTAAATCTACACAGCCTAACTGGCTATTGGAAATATCCACACAGTGCCCTCACCAGTCTGGTGGCACTAGAACATTACTGAACATTCTGCATGAGTCCATGGTATACTGGAAGTTTACATATCACACTAGCATCTAAATATAGTAACTTCCTGATGACTGCTTACATTAAATAGTACTACATTCCTGACTAGTAATCACTGCTGTCTACCGAATGTCTACAGAAACAATGTAACACAGTTCCAATCATTCTTCAACAATAATTATGCAACATGTGAATGTCATTTTCCAACAAAACAGGGTAGTCAGGCTCACTGACTTGGTTGAAGCATGTCATCGATCCCAATTGCATGGGTCAATGCTCATGATATCAATCACCGGATTGTCTGGTCTAAACCTGATTATTTACAGACCTCCATCATACAGCTGGAATATTGCTGAGTGCTGCTTTAAACAACAAACCAACCAACCAAACTCCCTCGCACTAAAAAAATATGTATTTTTCAGAAAGAATATCTCAGCTTACAAATGTAATTAATTATTCACCTTCATGTTACATTTCTTACATTAAATGCTAACATTAAAGATACTACCTTGCATTTTCCATTTGCTTGATGTGAAATCTTACTGTGAGGTAGTTTACAGGAAATTGCAATTACATCATGAAAACTTAGAAAAGAACACACATACATTAAACTGTGGTTTCTAGTTTATCTAAATAATGATTTGTTTGTTTGTTTGTTGTTTAACGCCACACTCCGCAAAATTCCAGCTGCATAACAGTGTTCTGAAAATAATCGAGTCTGGACCAGACAATCCAGTGATTGACATCATTTGCATCAATCCACCCAATTGGTATACGATGACATGCATCAACCAAGTCAGCGAGCCTGACCACCCAATCCCATTAGTCGCTTCGTACGACAAGCATGGTCGCCTTTTACGGCAAGCATGGGCTGCTGAAGACCAAAAATTACACATGAGCATGAAGGTGATGAATGCATGGAATGCATGTAAATATTGCATAGCAATGAAACAAATATACTCTTTACATACTCTTATATACAGCAATTGTAACTATACTACTCCACCTTTGACGGTGATATTTCTTATCTCCCGCGATATCTGAGATCATCCTCAGTAAGTCAAACTGAACCTGTAGTTCAGATAATCAATACTTGAGATGGGTTCATATTTATCTGAACCGTCCAGGCATCTTATAATTGTTTCATCATTTGGGTGCACAAAAAATGCCACTGACTGTCGACTCTGATGCTTCTTTAGTTCTGCCTCAGGAATCAGAACACGGTGTTTCTGAAAATAAGAAACAAAATTGACTTCGCTGCTTAAGGAAGAACTTCTCACTGACATTCAGCCTATAGGACGGCAGAGTGAGTGAGTATGGTTTTACGCCGCTCTTAGCAATATTCCAGCAATATCACGGCGGGGGACACCAGAAATGGGCTTCACACATTGTACATAGGACAGCAGAGATGAAGTGAGACTGGAGGTGAAAGCCTTGGGACATGAAGCAGTCAGCAGTGTTGTTTGGCCTGGGGAATAATGCAGTCAGCAGTGTTGTTTGGCCTGGGGAATAATGCAGTCAGCAGTGTTACATGGCTTGGGCCATAATGCAGTCAGCAGTGTTGTTTGGCCTGGGGAATAATGCAGTCAGCAGTGTTGTTTGGCCTGGGGAATAATGCAGTCAGCAGTGTTGTTTGGCCTGGGGAATAATGCAGTCAGCAGTATAACATGGCTTGGGCCATAATGCAGTCAGCAGTGTAACATGGCTTGGGCCATAATACAGTCAGCAGTGTAACATGGCTTGGGCAATAATGCAGTCAGCAGTGTAACATGGCTTTGGCCATAATGCAGTCAGCAGTGTAACATTTTTGCTTGGGCCATAATGCAGTCAGCGGTGTAACATGGCTTGGGCCATAATGAAGTCAGCAGTGTAACATGGCTTGGGCCATAATGCAGTCAGCGGTGTAACATGGCTTGGGCCATAATGAAGTCAGCAGTGTAACATGGCCTGGGGAATAATGCAGTCAGCAGTGTAACATGGCTTGGCCATAATGCAGTCAGCAGTGTTACTTATGCGAGTGAGTGATTGAGTGACAGAGTGATTGAGTGACTGAGTGACAGAGTGATTGAGTGATAGTTTAACACTGCATCAGCAAACTTGTATCTATTCGCTGTAAGTATTGTCAAGTCATGCGACATGTCATCATCATACAACATCATGGCTTAAGTGAGTGACGGTATTTGTGTATATTGCTTAATAATGCAGTCAGCAATATTCCAGCCACATCACAGCAACAAGGAAACAGCCTAGTCTGGACCAGGCACACCAGTGCAGCCACACAGCATGAGCAACAATCCATAAAGGTATGATGAGATGCCCGGTCACACAGTGTTACCAACCCAGTCCTGATGCATACAGCAGACATGTGGAACTGACAACCTTTTCTGTGATAACTTTGCCCACCTCTCAGGACTGGCCACTTAGAGTCAATCATTTACCCAGCTTATGGAGCTAATGACGCTGAACCTTAGGAACGGTTACAAGAGTCCTGGTTCTAAAACTCTGTTCATACTTCATCAGGTTCCTACAAGACTGTTTCTATCAAAGTACAGTATGCTCACTGTGGCTTTAAGCTTGTCTGCCGTCCATCGCTGCATTAGGTCACCAATGTTGACAACGATGGCGCCAGGGACAGGCTGGGCCGGAACATACACGTCGTCAGTATTCATCACCTGAAACATGTCATACCCAGTCATGTCATCAGTATTCATCACCTGAAACATGTCATACCACATACATGCCATCAGTAGTCATATCACATACAATAAATCTGTGTTTATCACCTGAAGCACATTATACCACACACACTGAATCTGTTTCCATAACCTCAACATGCTGAAACATCTTAGACGTACACACACTGAATCTGTGTTCATCAACTGAAGCATGTTATACCACACACACTGAATCTGTGTTCATCCCCTGAAACATGTTATACCACACACACTGAATCTGTGTTCATCACCTGAAGCATGTTATACCACACACACTGAATCTGTGTTCATCACCTGAAGCATGTTATACCACACACACTGAATCCGTGTTCACCTGAAGCATGTTATACCACACACACTGAATCTGTGTTCATCACCTGAAGCATGTTATACCACACACACTGAATCTGTGTTCACCACCTGAAGCATGTTATATCACACACACTGAATCTGTGTTCACCACCTGAAGCATGTTACACCACACACACTGAATCTGTGTTCATCACCTGAAACATGTTATACCACACACACTGAATCTGTGTTCACCACCTGAAGCATGTTATAACACACACTGAATCTGTGTTCATACATAGGTTGCTGGAGACCAATTCTAACTCGGAATTCCCACAGATTCCCAATCGCCTCTTACAACCAACATAGGTTGCTGGGGACCAATTCAACCCAGACTCCCAAAGGACAGAGTGAGTGAGCAAGTGGGTGGGTGGATTGGTGGATGACTGAGGGTATCCATGCATGAGTGTGGTTTGGTTTAGTGTATTTGCGTGTATGTGTGTGTTCGATTCAACGCTGCTTTGAACAGTATATCAGTTCTATTCCAGCAATCAGTTTCATTATGGTGTTGACAAACCTAGAAACACATTCAGGATAATTTCTAAAACGGAACACACACATGGTTGTCAAGCCCCAAGGTCTTTGCCCAGTTGAGGTAATATTTGATGAACACCTACCTCCAAGCCCCCAATACCATCTTGGAACAACAGAGTGACTGTACCATAGTCGGAGTGTTCACCACAGCGTACCTGGCCAGGCTTAAACAGCTGTAACAGCACAAGTGTATCGAAACTCAACTGTAGATAAACTGATTGCCTGACAGGCAGCATTGAGCAGAAAATTAGGTGAAACTTAATGTGGCAAAACTATCAACCTTTGCATGATTTCATATTCAATTTCTCACGTTTTTAATCCATATGTATGGAAATGTGATGTTGGAAGAAAATACAATTTGCTGTGGCAGATTTGAGGAAGTCGATGTGATGGAGCTAAACATGGTTTACTAGCTGAGGTATATTCGTGTTCATGACATTGTTTATAGATCTGCTAACCCTAAATTTGAGGAAACTGGATAATATATAATTCTAGTTTTAGGCCCCCCCCCCCAAAAAAAAATAGTCTTGGTCCTCAGGCACCACCCGCATCATCACAAAGTTCACTGCACATTTCATTTTTATTTGCATTTTATAAAAGACAAAACAATCCTTAAATATTTTAAGTCCAACGATAGTCAAATACTGTATTCCAGTATTTGACTCATCAAGGAATACATTTATGTAGGGCGGCACCAGGTACATAAAATGTATTCCTTGATGAGAAAAATACTGGATGAGTAAAATACTGGAAAACAGTATTTGACTCATCAAGGAATACATTTATGTAGGGAGGCCCTTTCCAACAACTGTTTATTTGGTTACACAACTGTTTATTTGGTTACACAACTGTTTATTTGGTTATATACTAGGCTGAATAACCAAAAAAACTATAAAAAAAACACCGCCTGCCTACACTATATTTTCAGCCATTGCCTGAGAATCAATTTTTTACAGCTTTTGTTATTATGGAGGCGTATTGTAATCACACTTGTGAAAAAATGTCAGAAGCTAATTCCCTGCCTGTCATAGGCTCAGAGTATGAGGAGAAGCCATGATGATTACCAGAGCTACACTTGGACTCAAAGCCAGTGTGTGACTGTTCTCATGTAAGTGCTATACTTATTCACATATTTCACCTGAATATTAACAAATTTCAAGGGTCTAAACTTTGTTTAAATTTTATTTTTTTAAATAATCAAAAAAGAAGGCCTCACATCCAGACAAAGGGGGGTAGTAGAGGCTTCTGAGTGTGGTGGCGCAGCCCTTCTTGTCTATCAGGTTGTGACACTCACGCAGGAAATTCTTATCCTGAAACATGGGGAGAATTTAAATTCTTATCCTGAAACATGGGGAAAATATGTATCTGTGATCATGAAACATGGGGAAAAACCGAATTATATCCTCAGACACCAATGGATAACATATCTAGTAAACACATGGCACATACACACCTCCAGTTAACATGGCACATACACACCTCCAGGTTACATGGCACATACACACCTCCAGTTTACATAGCACATACACACCTCCAGTTGACATGGCACATACACACCTCCAGTTGGAGACCAATGGACAACTTGTCAGTACATACATGACACATACACACCTCCAGGTTACATGGCACATACACACCTCCAGTTTACATAGCACATACACACCTCCAGTTAACATGGCACATACACACCTTCAGTTGACATGGCACATACGCACCTCCAGTTTACATGGCACATACACACCTCCAGTTTACATAGCACATACACACCTCCAGTTTACATGGCACATACACACCTCCAGTTTACATGGCACATACACACCTCCAGTTTACATGACACATACAAACCTCCAGTTTACATGACACATACAGACCTCCAGTTTACATGGCACATACACACCTCCAGTTGACATGACACATACACACCTCCAGTTTACATGGCACATACACACCTCCAGTTTACATGGCACATACACACCTCCAGTTTACATGGCACATACACACCTCCAGTTTACATAGCACATACACACCTCCAGTTGACATGACACATACACACCTCCAGTTTACATGGCACATACACACCTCCAGTTTACATGGCACATACACACCTCCATTTTACATGGCACATACACACCTCCATTTTACATGACACATACACACCTCCAGTTGACATGGCACATACACACCTCCAGTTTACATGGCACATACACACCTCCAGTTGACATGGCACATACACACCTTCAGTTGACATGGCACATACACACCTTCAGTTGACATGGCACATACACACCTCCAGTTTACATGATACATACACACCTCCAGTTTACATGGCACATACACACCTTCAGTGGACATGGCACATACACACCTCCAGTTTACATGACACATACACACCTCCAGTTTACATGACACATACACACCTCCAGTTTACATGGCACATACACACCACCATTTTACATGGCACATACACACCTCCAGTTGACATGGCACATACACACCTCCAGTTTACGTGGCACATACACACCTCCAGTTTACATAGCACATACACACCTCCAGTTTACATGGCACATACACACCTCCAGTTTACATGACACATACACACCTCCAGTTGACATGGCACATACACACCTCCAGTTTACATGGCACATACACACCTCCAGTTGACATGGCACATACACACCTTCAGTTGACATGGCACATACACACCTTCAGTTGACATGGCACATACACACCTCCAGTTTACATGATACATACACACCTCCAGTTTACATGGCACATACACACCTTCAGTGGACATGGCACATACACACCTCCAGTTTACATGACACATACACACCTCCAGTTTACATGACACATACACACCTCCAGTTTACATGGCACATACACACCTCCATTTTACATGGCACATACACACCTCCAGTTGACATGGCACATACACACCTCCAGTTTACGTGGCACATACACACCTCCAGTTTACATAGCACATACACACCTCCAGTTTACATGGCACATACACACCACCAGTTTACATGGCACATACACACCTCCAGTTTACATGACACATACACACCTCCAGTTTACATGACACATACAGACCTCCAGTTTACATGGCACATACACACTTCATTTTACATGACACATACACACCTCCATTTTACATGACACATACACACCTCCAGTTTACATGGCACATACACACCTCCAGTTGACATGGCACATACACACCTCCAGTTGACATGGCACATACACACCTCCAGTTGACATGGCACATACACACCTCCAGTTGACATGGCACATACACACCTCCAGTTTACATGGCACATACACACCTCCAGTGGACATGGCACATACGCACCTCCAGTTTACATGGCACATACACACCTCCAGTTTACATAGCACATACACACCTCCAGTTTACATGGCACATACACACCTCCAGTTTACATGGCACATACACACCTCCAGTTTACATGACACATACAAACCTCCAGTTTACATGACACATACAGACCTCCAGTTTACATGGCACATACACACCTCCAGTTGACATGACACATACACACCTCCAGTTTACATGGCACATACACACCTCCAGTTTACATGGCACATACACACCTCCAGTTTACATGGCACATACACACCTCCAGTTGACATAGCACATACACACCTCCAGTTGACATGACACATACACACCTCCAGTTTACATGGCACATACACACCTCCAGTTTACATGGCACATACACACCTCCATTTTACATGGCACATACACACCTCCATTTTACATGACACATACACACCTCCAGTTGACATGGCACATACACACCTCCAGTTTACATGGCACATACACACCTCCAGTTGACATGGCACATACACACCTTCAGTTGACATGGCACATACACACCTTCAGTTGACATGGCACATACACACCTCCAGTTTACATGATACATACACATCTCCAGTTGACATGGCACATACACACCTCCAGTTGGAGACCAATGGACAACTTGTCAGTACATACATGACACATACACACCTCCAGGTTACATGGCACATACACACCTCCAGTTTACATAGCACATACACACCTCCAGTTAACATGGCACATACACACCTTCAGTTGACATGGCACATACGCACCTCCAGTTTACATGGCACATACACACCTCCAGTTTACATAGCACATACACACCTCCAGTTTACATGGCACATACACACCTCCAGTTTACATGGCACATACACACCTCCAGTTTACATGACACATACAAACCTCCAGTTTACATGACACATACAGACCTCCAGTTTACATGGCACATACACACCTCCAGTTGACATGACACATACACACCTCCAGTTTACATGGCACATACACACCTCCAGTTTACATGGCACATACACACCTCCAGTTTACATGGCACATACACACCTCCAGTTTACATAGCACATACACACCTCCAGTTGACATGACACATACACACCTCCAGTTTACATGGCACATACACACCTCCAGTTTACATGGCACATACACACCTCCATTTTACATGGCACATACACACCTCCATTTTACATGACACATACACACCTCCAGTTGACATGGCACATACACACCTCCAGTTTACATGGCACATACACACCTCCAGTTGACATGGCACATACACACCTTCAGTTGACATGGCACATACACACCTTCAGTTGACATGGCACATACACACCTCCAGTTTACATGATACATACACACCTCCAGTTTACATGGCACATACACACCTTCAGTGGACATGGCACATACACACCTCCAGTTTATATGACACATACACACCTCCAGTTTACATGACACATACACACCTCCAGTTTACATGGCACATACACACCTCCATTTTACATGGCACATACACACCTCCAGTTGACATGGCACATACACACCTCCAGTTTACGTGGCACATACACACCTCCAGTTTACATAGCACATACACACCTCCAGTTTACATGGCACATACACACCTCCAGTTTACATGACACATACACACCTCCAGTTGACATGGCACATACACACCTCCAGTTTACATGGCACATACACACCTCCAGTTGACATGGCACATACACACCTTCAGTTGACATGGCACATACACACCTTCAGTTGACATGGCACATACACACCTCCAGTTTACATGATACATACACACCTCCAGTTTACATGGCACATACACACCTTCAGTGGACATGGCACATACACACCTCCAGTTTACATGACACATACACACCTCCAGTTTACATGACACATACACACCTCCAGTTTACATGGCACATACACACCTCGATTTTACATGGCACATACACACCTCCAGTTGACATGGCACATACACACCTCCAGTTTACGTGGCACATACACACCTCCAGTTTACATAGCACATACACACCTCCAGTTTACATGGCACATACACACCACCAGTTTACATGGCACATACACACCTCCAGTTTACATGACACATACACACCTCCAGTTTACATGACACATACAGACCTCCAGTTTACATGGCACATACACACTTCATTTTACATGACACATACACACCTCCATTTTACATGACACATACACACCTCCAGTTTACATGGCACATACACACCTCCAGTTGACATGGCACATACACACCTCCAGTTGACATGGCACATACACACCTCCAGTTGA